CTTGAAGATTACAGGCCCTCGCGGACCAGCATGGCCAAGTTGAAACTGGAAGGACAACTCGACGTGGTCGAGTACAGTCGAGTCACTCTGCCGGAATTGGTCCACATGGGAGATCCAGCAGGGGGTTATGTGGAGATGTTGAAAGCGAGAAACTCCGCGAGAGGGCACCTGATGGCTTGGAGCGAGAAGCGAGCCATGCAGGAATATCTGAAAGAGCTTACGGAGAATTCAAACTTAAATCGGAAAGAATACGGTACGGTAATGTCCTCTGAAGCGAACGAAATCGGATTAGAAAAACTACTAGAAATTTCTTGGAGGGCGGCCCTCCAGAGATACTTCGACGAGACGATGCGTGTACCTGCGACGGTGGCAGCGTACCTGGCTCATCGTTGCATGAGAACCGATCTGCAAGTACGGTTGGCTTGGTGCTTGATGGGCATCAAGAAGGCGGAATATGAAGCCAGTAATGATTCGAAATCACGGGAACAGGAGAAGGAGTTGATGGAAGCTCTGCGAGCGTTGATTTCAAAAGACGATTCTGCGATAGCGTGGGCTAAGCGTAAGGATGCCCTTTGCTTTGTCAGGTTCGTGGTGGATCGTATCCCCACTCCTGTTTTGGGAGAATGTATAAAGATCATTCGGCAAAAGGGAGTTGATTGCGAAAGAAACTTCCTTAGGGCACTCCTGGAACTATATCAGGATATGCCGTTGACTGTACCAAATAAGGAGTCGAATGACATGGAGAGCTATCGCAAGTTGGAAGAAGTGAGAAGATATTCCAACAAAGAATTGAAAGTGAGTCGGGAGTTGATTGAAGCAGTCAAGGAACAAAAAGACTTTGCATCACTAGGGAAACTGAAGTCGTTCCAATATGTGTCTTGCATACCGGGGATGGCGTATAATCCCTTCGTGAATGAAGAAGCCAGGGAAGCGTACTTCGACTATGAGCAAGTCATAGTACTCAATTTCTGGTTTGAACGGATTAAAGAAACTGGAATGCTGATGGTGGAACAACCCAAGCTGGAAATTATCTTGGAAGAACGAGTGGTCGAACCCTCGGTTCCCGAGCTAAAGGGGCAGGTGAGTTTTGATTGTGGTTCTTGGGACGGTCCCTTGAAAACCAGTCTAGTAACGATGTGGGAACTCATGAAGCCTTCTTGGTGTCCTCATCCTAGTTTAATCTGGGACATGACGGCGGATATCACGTTAGACCTAGATGATGACGCGAGTTTACATGATCTGGCCATGATACACCATCTGCTGGCCACGAGGTTGACGAAGCGGAAGAGCAACCCATCCACGGAGCTGTCCGAGGAAGGTCCATCGAGCAATTGGTTGAAGCAAAGCACATGCTTGGCTCAACATAGTGGGATGGAAGGACATGTTTGTAACTTGGGGCACTGCCTGATTACGCTGAGCAAGCAGCATCGACAACTGGCACGATTGTACGGAAGATTGAGCATGTCGGATAAGAGTGGCATGGAGTTGGTCGCGGACTGTCATGGGGTGACGGATGTAAACTTGAACACAGCCTTGGGATTTTGTAGCATGACGAGTTCGATAGAATCGCTTGAGCGCCTGGAGCGTGCCCAGGAGCTGGTGACGTCCCTCAGCGTGGAAGTATTCTCTGGAGCATTGCAGACAGAGCAGAAGATCGGAGGTTGACGAGAAGCTCTGGAGAACGAAACGAATCTGAAAGATAGTGAAGCCTATCATAAACCTACTGGTTCAAAATATCTGGTGGGTTCAAGCTCCGCACCATATTGCAGTAGTAGGTATCCTACACACATGGTGGTGATGGATGCGAGGACACAGCAGGTGTTGATTGACCAACTTTTCTCTGTGCCAAAGTGCGTGAGGTTGGCCAGAATGTCGGAGAGGTCATATGACTTGTTGGCAAAAATCTTTCGGGCAGTCCCGAAGAGATCTGAAGGCGAGTTGCAAGACGTAGTGGGTGAAGAGTTTCTGAGATTGAACGAAGGTAATGTGAGTGAGTTCCAGATGCAGAAAGCGAGTGGAGCGTTACCCACTGAATTCCCCATCATAGAAGAGAAAGACGACTTACACAGAATTCTGATGGAGGTGGAACCGTTGCTGGGAGCCTCAGGGTATCGGACCCGAAGGAACATAGTGAGAACCCATGGGGAGTATCCTTGCCACTGCTTGGCGCAGACGTTGTGGTACCCCAAACGCGGGAATCTGATGCTAGTATGGGACGTGGAGGAGTTGTACTCTACAGGGTTGCCCGATCAGAATCAACAGGTGTCAATCGTGGTGGTTAGTGCCATGCTGGCAGTGAGATGGTTGGAGGCTAACGCGGACACAAGTGAACAGGAGACGGCCGTGCCGACTCCTGAGCAGCTGAGCAACGTGAAGATGAGTCGTGAATTGGATCTTTTCAGAACCACCTGCAAGGTTCTGAGAATACCCAAAGCCATAGAAAGAATATGGTCAAGGCAAAGATTGATGCCTTGGTTCCGTGCAGTGATGACATAATGGATGTATGAACGCGCGAAGCGTCACATGTCGAGGAACACGGAAGCCTATCAATCTTTCCAGCTAGATATAGGACCGGGAGCCTATAAGAGAGTATTCCTGACGCACAGAAACGCGGTCACCACAGCGGTGAAGCGAGTAGCTGGAGCGCCTTGTGTAACTGAAGATGAGAAGAAAGAGGTCTTAAGAGCTGACCTAGAAAGAAATGTGAGCCTATGTCTTCACAACAGCTTTTGCAGGAACCGGGAGCAAAAGGTGAATGTGGACTTTCTACCTCGTTGCAAACCGAGGCTGTTGGAACAGGAGAGTTGGGGCACGGCCCGCAACTCCATGGACATGTTGGAGAAAGTATTAGAAGACAGCGAAGCTGAAGATCAGGATGGAGAAGCGATGGAGTGAAGATTATGAACGAAGAGAACAAGTGAAGACATGAGCAAAGAAGAAAAGAGAAGGAGAGAAAACTTGATTGTCTTTGTGTGTTAAAACTTAAACCAATCAACCAAGTTTTGATTATTGAACTTGTTAAACTTTTTGTTTTGATTTAGTTTGGTCAAACCAAACTTTGAAAGTTGTTGCAATTGTTGAAATTGTTGAAAGAATATTTTAGTTATACTAATTATGTATATATATAGAACATAGGTGAGTATATTTACCTATTTAAACATGATGAAGTTTTTAACCTGTGTAAGACACAATTTCACTGTGTGGCGACATGGTAAGTTTGAGTAAACTCCCTCGAGAGGGTGAGTAACTCAATAACTTTCCTAGCCACAGAGTTTCTTAGTTTTAATATTGAAAGGACTGCATAAATAACTGATTACTTGGTGAGTCACGTTAAGTTAATTTTAATGGAAGCGTGGCCGTGCCACGTCCCACTTTTTAATCACATAGAGCGAAAAGAAATTTTATCTAGGACACTCCTCATGGTGCAAATTTTGTGAAAATGTTGAAAGGCAGTGAGATGTAGTACGATGCCATTTGTGAACACGTAGTGAGTTGAGGTGGAGTAGATAAATTTCATTTTGTTATGCGATTTGTAAGATTGATTATAGAGAACTGGAACACTACTTGACGATAACTCGGTGTTATGCGATCAATAGGGACATTGATGGGGACTTGTCCGGGGAGTATGTGCCATTCTGCCAGAAAGGCACAGCGCAACCTTCCGGCGACACGAAAAAAAACGAATAAAGGCCCTATTAAAGAAAAAGTATTGCGAAGGAGGGTAGGAATATTCTAGAATTTTTATTTTCAAAATTTCGATTGAAGAGTTGATATTTCTCAGAAATACAAAAGAGACGGCCATTTTGACGAAAAACGACGAAAAAAGAGAACAACGACAAATATTGTGGAAAACGGTCGCACAAGACACGAAAAATACGAAGCCTCTTATCGTGGCAACAACACACGATAAGACTCTTAGCAGAGGATATTAGTGGAAAAGGAAGCTTCAGTGAGGAAGAAATATTCCACGGAACCCTCCCGTGACACAAATTGGAAGAGATAAGGGCGTTATCTCGGGAAGATTACGGGAGCGGAGGATTGGTCCCTCAGAGCAGAGACTGTTTTATGTGAAGGGACTATATAAAACTAACTTTGTAGCTACTTGGATGTCGTAGAAGTCTGAATTAACACCGGTATTATTTGATATTTTAGAATATGAGTAGCTAGAAAGAGGAAAGGGTCAATCCATCTCCAATGGATTTAATATAGAACTGTCACACAAAAACATATTAAAATAGGTTGTTCGAGCCGTGTTTTTAATGGCAATCACGTAGTCTGAGGATCCGAGACTCAGCTATGTGGTCTATGTGGTTGTGTTCGCATGTAAACGAAAGCTGATCAAAAGTCGTTTGACTGATGGCCTAAAAATGGTACTTTTTTACTTAGCCCTAAGCAGACCAGAAAATCAACTGGCAAGGTCGAGACGGTGAAAAACGTGTAGGATTAAGGTAACTGACGCCTGCCAGTCGTTAATAGGTACTTTTTCTACGCTCCGTCGCTGTGTAGTATTTGGGCGAATGTTACATCTTGGCGTTTTCTAGGATCCTTGTCATCGCTCTCTTTCACTCCTCTTATCCTTTTTCCCAATGTCTGGTTATTGTTTTTGTTTTATGTTTTTATGTTTTTGTCCGATGTGGTTTAGTTCGATTCCTTTTGAATTGGTTTTTCTTTTGATTGTTTTGCTAGTTTTGATAGAATGTTTCTAATTTCTGAGACTGTCTCCTTAAATTCTTTCATCTCATTTTCCATTTTTTCAAGTTTCTCCACCTTTACTGGGTCTGGTTTTGCCAGTAGTTACCTAATCTTTTCTTGTTGTTTTGCCGAAACGCACATGTTAAACAGTAAAAGTATGTTCATGCCCAATTCCTTTTTACCTGACATTGCGTTGTTACTAAGTTTGGTGCATTTTGCTGTCAGATGCATTCTACATCCACATGCTATGCATTCAAAGGATTGCTCTCTTGCATTTGTATTGCTATTGCAAGTTTTGCATGTATTTTCCGCCATTATGTTGGTTTTTTTTTTGCAACCGGTGGTGCCTAAGAGCACCATTGGAAGAAATAGGACTTGGAAACAAGTTCTCACCGGTGGTACCTAAGGGTACCTTTGGTAAAAGCTTCGGGACTTGTTTTAGTATTGAATGACCGGTGGTGCCTAAGGGTACCTTTGGAAAATCAATCCTAAAAAATAATAAATCTTCTATTGGCGTGGTTGATACAAATGGCTACAGTGGCACTTGTTTGTTTCGCAGTTGACAACTTCCGTGTTTCCTGCGTCGTTCAATTCTTTTTTGTATTTCGAATACCAAACTTTTTCTTTGACTAGATTTTTGACGTTGTTCAGACCGTCGTTGTTGAGGTGAGTTTTATCTAATTTGAAATGGCGTCTGCCAGAAGTGAAACTGCTGACTCTTCGATATTTCCACTCAGCTTTTTGTTTGAATCTGGGAGATATTCTTTCTGCTCTTGCTTTGACGATATCGTTCGTTACACTCGCTATCTCTCTATTTTCGTCGCGTTCAGGAATTCCAGGACAAAGACGCTGCTGTGGGTTCTCTGGCAGGCAAAACCAAAGCGACCTGCGGGTGGAATATAGTCGTATAAATGCCTGATGCTAGCCCCAGGGAGCGACAAGATGTTGAGGTTTTCGGCTTCTAGGAATCTCGTTTGGGAATCCGCAAGGAATGGGTACTTTGTTGGCACTTCCTTGAATATATGAAACCTCGAGTATCCAGTCATAAAATTTTGTTTCTAAAATCCTCCCATTGGAGGCCTTCCACACAAGATTTGAGACATCATTATATAAAACACACTATTTAATAAGTTTATGGCCCTATCCAGCTTGTGTACTGACCGTAACTAAACGAAAGGGCCCTTTTTGTAATTTAACACGTTTTTTTTTTAAAATAAAATCATTGTAATACTTAAAAATATGCGAACTAATAAGCTGCAGGTTTTCCATTTGTTTTAGTTTCTATGGAAAAAGAATTTGAATGTCAAGGATACAAACTTTGTTGTTTGTCAGATTTAGTCAGACATTTTGAGTCAAGTGCTCGGATGTGTTCTCCTACATGTTTCCGTTTTGTATTTCGGCTTTTAGAGCTCAATTCTGTTACAACTGAAAATAATTCAGTCGAACTCGTAGGATTGATTGGAGATCCAACGGATGGAAACAATTCAAAAGTGCAAGCTAAGTTTCGCTCAGAACTATCTTCTGTTTTACTAATAGACTGTCTCTATGAAACTGTTGCACGAATTGAGTCCAATTACCATGGAACCACTCTGCAATTAGACCGCGAAGTTCATTTTAAGGTATCTCTTGATATTGTTTACGCAATCAGTGAAGACGATTTGGATACATTCCGCCTAATTCTTAATCATCAGTCAAGCTCACTACTGAAGCTTTGTAATAATAGCAAATCTCAAATACAATCTGTTTCAGAAAATGTACGAAGTTATAGCAGAAATATCCTCGACTTGATTCTTCCCGGCGAAATGCATGACTGATTGTTTTTTCTAATTGACATGAATAGTCGAACCATTTTTCTTCTTGCAACTAGACTTATTCTCTATGTGGTAAAATATCTATCTTTTACTCAATTATCGTAATTTTTATTTACCTTTCAGGTGAACATATGTCTACACTAACTAAAAGTGTCTATCCCCTCGCCAACCCTAAAGGAATTAAAAACTCATGTGAGCTTTGTGGGAAACCTGCCTTCGTACAATGCAACAAATGCAAGATAACCTACTACTGGTTAGTCAAACTAAGTAATAAACTCAACATACTTTAACGATTTTTAAATAAGTGCCATTGATAAAATCACACACTCCCTAGTGTGTCTAAATATTTCCCTTGTCTCTTTTTACCATACCTACCTTTCTGCAGCTTTCAAAAAATCTGTGGGGAAAATTTGACCCATAGTTGTTATTTTTTCTTTTTCTTAAAAACTACTCTCCTAAATCTGAGATTTTGGATTTAACCGAAAGAACGCTTTGTGTGAAGCACCCCTGTATAAGCGGCTACGCCTAAAAAATTTTCTGCGATATTTTATGACCCTTGGAAAAGTCAAAATTTTTTTACCGTTCTTTGAAATTTTTTACCGTTTGACCTTTCAGCTACCCTCTCAAAATTTTGTTACAAAATTTTTTTTAAGACCTTGGAAAAAATGAAGATTTTGTACCGTTTGTTGAAATTTTTTTGATTTTCTCGAAAATTACACTCTCAAATTTGGGTTCAATGGAAAGACCGAGTTGTGAGAAGTTCCCATACATAAAAAGCTAAGTCTGATTTTTCTACACAAAAAGAAATCTCTTATTTTGAGGAACAACTTATGTTTTGGGTGAAGCCCATTTTTTGAATTTTTGAAGTGACCTATTTCTTCCCACAGCAGTACAAAAATTCAAAAATTATCAAACAGGTACCACCAGCTTTAGCTGGGCACCTACTTTTCAGAGTTCTATGAGCTTTTGGCTACTATCTTATGTGCTGAATTCATGTGACTTCCAAAAAAATAATAATATTACTGACTGAATTTTAAGTGATCTTCAACTTAGTAATCATGATAGTTTTTTTTGCATCTAAATGAGTTTTCTAAGCAGTGGTACTCCATCTAGAGCTGAAATTGCAAAATTATATTTCTGAAAATTTTTTTTTTTTCGTACTAATTTTTGTCGGTTTACTTAGTAAGAGTAACACTAGTAAATGTTCTTCTATACGAGTTTTTGTTTAATCTTAACTAGTCTTTTTTGAGCAGAGTAAAAAAATTTCTCACTTTTTGTTTTATACATACCAAAAGTTTCTGTTAGCCATTATGAGAGGTTTTGAACAGTTTTTTTTTCGACTGATGGATTCCGTTTATTTGTTTGTCAAACTTTACGAGAAATAGTTCATAAGACTTTTTTCAGGTTAACAGAGGCGTTCAAGTCCGGGCGGGACCATTACTTTTTCGCGTACTGGAAATTTTCGGACCATTAAAAATGTTCTTGTATGTTAGCTCATTTTTGTCGGCTTAGTTCCCGTAGCGCGCACTTTTCTTGAAAGCTCAGTTATTAACTCAGCACCCTATTAGATGACATGTAGCTAATCTCCATGAGTTTTGTTTTTTCCTTTTTTATTTCAATTTTACTCCGGCTTGAATGGTTTCGGCTTTGTTTTATTGGCCTATTTGCCTGCTATAACATTTTTTTGATGAGCGAAAATAGATTGTTTTGCGTTTGTCTTCTCATGGGAAGATAATTGCAATAAAGGATAGGCTGTTGTTATAGCTCACAATTTTAGATGACAATTTTCCGGCTCAACGGGCTCATTCCAAGTTTTGTTTTTTAGTTACCTCTCGATAGTTTTGGTCTTTATGCTAATTAACTCTGGCTCTCGGTTTTCTCATCAGGTTTCCATAAAATTGAATTTCAATCAAGTCAAATGCATGAAAATTTAGTGCTTTTGTTTTGTTTCAGCGTTTTTTGAATCAGACTTAGGCTCATGGTTTCATTTATTTTATTTTTACCAGCGGAATAAAAATTACTTACTGCTCTAGTCTTCCCAAATTAGGTTAATTTTATCACCTTTGCGGTTAGCAAGCGTTATCAAATCGGAAGATAGTTTTTCTCCAGGTAAAATTTTAGTCTAACAGAATCCTTGAATAAGTTTCTGAAATCGATTTTGAGCATGTCCGAATTTTCAATACCCGTGCTTTTTTTTCCATACCCGTGGCCTCATTGTGCCGTGTGATGAGTGGAAACGTTTCTTAAGCGTGTGTGTATTTTTTTATTACATTTTATTAAATGTAACGTAATCGGGAACAAGACATTTTCCATCAAACGGTTTTTTTTTCTGACCATTGAGAATGGAGAGGAACTTCGTATTCGGTTTGTTGTTTTTTTTGTTTTCCACGCAAAATCTTGTGCCAAAAATACTCATCGGAAAGTTCCGATGATATATCACATTAAACATTTTTGAAAAAACAGCGCGATAAATTTTTTAATCATTTTGAAAAAAACTGTGTCGAGAAAAACTCGTTAGAAATTTTTGATTTTTGGTCTAATTTCGAGCGAGTAAGGTCAGCGATCAGGCTTAGAATTTTCTGAGATTGTTCGTAACATTCTGTGCTAATTGCAAAGTAACCAGCTCTCCTTGTTTTAGATTTGTAAAACAAGGAGTGACGTGCTCAGTTTCATAAAATATTTAATTGTATACTCGTTTTCATTGTTTATCAATTCTAATTTAGTTTGAAACCTGACAACAATTTTTTTCGGTTGAAAACTCAATTAAGACTGTTTTGTGTTCGGATTGGTCATTTTGGCTTTAGTTTTTGTCAGCGCTTTTGAGGTGTCAATTACATTATCTAGTACAGCGTTCAAGTTAGATTAAAGGTTTTTAAAAGAAATGCCTTTGTTTTTTTATTCTCGGTTTGATTATTTTGAAATACCCCTTTTTAAAAACTTAGAGCTTAGTTTTTTTATATGACTAATTGTATAAAGTGATTGATTTGAGATTTTTTTTGATTTTTCCTGGAGCCAAGAAGAAGCCAAGAGTTCATGCGTTTGAAACACTAGCTATTCCTGATGGTGGTGAAGTTAAATTTTTTTAATGAAATTGTTGAACCCCGATTCGCATTTTAAGTTTTTCCCCTAATAAGTGTGATTTTTCTATTAATGGAGCTTTAGGTTAGCCGTAAAACCTTATGGCTTTGGATTTTAGTCTTTGTTATTAATTGTCGAGCATTTGAATGATTTTTTTGTTCCGACTTTCGTAACGGAAGATTTGTGCTTGGGGTGGTTTTTTGTTCTTCAGGCAAATTTCGACTGTTTAACTAGCAATTTTTGATGGATTTTTTTTTCATATCATTCAAAAGATATTGTTCTGAGCTCAAATTTGAAAAGATATTTCACCTGTGATCATTTTTCGGTAAGATTGATTTTTTGGCCAATCAGGGACAACACACACTATTAAAGCTTAAGCGTGTGGGTGATGACTTTGGCGTGTGGGTGATGACTTTTTACAAAAAATCTCCAATTTTTTAAAACAAAAAACATTCTCTTTTTTTTATTTAATTTTTTCATGTTTTTACTGCTCCATAGACCCTAAAAGGCAGTCGGAACATTCAGGGGTTCGCCCTGATACGAGCAGGCTTGTTTTCATCTGTTTTTTTTTGTATAAATCTTTGCTTGAAACTTTTTCATATATTCTTTATTCATTTGTCGACTATTTCAATGATTTCTTAATTTCATTTTCCTCATAGAAAAAGTTAAATATAGAAACCTATCAAATAAATCAGCCAGAAAAAAAACACAACGAGTTTTCCTGTTTTTCGACCAAAGAAAAGGGCATCATTTTCGGACAAGGTGTTTCTAAATTTTTCATTGAATTGTCTAGGAATCCTTCTAAATTTTTCTGGGTTGTCAATCTGTAGTTTTTAGAAGTCAATGAACATAGTGAAGACTTTTATATAGTTCGTGATGATTTTTTTTAAGGAAAAGTTAAAGTTAGTTCACGCTCATATTTGAATTTTTGCGGTTTATTTTTGTTTTTGTATTTTTGTTTTCAAGTTCAGTTCATTTCCTTTGTAAAAAGGAATGCAAGCCCCAATCGAACAGCAAAAATGTTAATGTTACGAAAAACGTGATCAACTTCTAGTTTCGAAAGTGGAAGAAATTTTCAGATTTCCCAGCGGAATAAAAGTTTATTGGTTCCATTTTTTCAAATTGGGTTAACTTTTTCAAAAAATTGCCATGCATTAATTTTTCTTGGGTTTAAAGCGCTGTCAGGCCATATTTTCTTTGAAATTTGAAAGTTGAAGTTTATCTTTTTTTTGCGTTCATTGACCCTTTTTCAACTGTGTTGGCTTTTTTCGTACTAACTTTGGGTTTGTCGTTCTTTTTTCCTTGCAAGATAGCTGCTTTTAATACACGTTAGTAATGGGTCGCTAGTTAGGCTGAAAAATTTGGAATTCTATTTTGTAGTTTTTGAACTACCGAGCGTAAGCATACTACATGAAAAATTTTTGGTAGTCAGCTTATTGAAATGTCCTTTTTAGTTTTTTTAAGATGTTCGCCAGTTTTTTACAATGAATTTTTGGTTTTATAGAGCTTTTGATAGAAATGAGACTCACCATTGAAATTGAGGGCTGAAAAAGGTTTCGTTTTCCAAGTTATTGATGTTTGATAATTAAACTGAAATTTTACAAAGTCGGAATATGCACAAAACTTAGTCTGAAGTGTTTTTTTTTTCGCATAAACTTATTGGTAGAAATATAAATATGTTATTGGTAGTATTAGTTTCATTATAAAAATTTGCGGTTACTCATTGCTACCACTGAGCTATGGGCCCGTTAGTTGAATATTCAATTGAAACTATCCAATATTTTGTTTCACAGGATGATCTGAGCATATAATGAAGTCTCCGGAGAATCTTTCTTGTGTTTTATGAGATGATAAAATGCCCCTGCTGGTATTGGTTTTTATTTACGAGAAAAATACAAAGCAGAAAATGGCATAAGTTAATAGATTTTTACTGATTTAATTCGTGACGATCAATTGCGTTGGTTTTGAGTAATGCTCTGACACGAACCACGAAATCAGTTCATTTTTGGTTGGTTACAGTAGTCACGAGCACCAACGTCTGGACTGGGTGGCAATCCACGAGCAGGTCTGTTGTTACGTAGCCGAGCTCAAAACAACAGGACTGCCCTTTCTTGGAAGCGAAGATGAGAGGCAAAGGAGGAATGCGGACCGAGTGGAGAAACAGAAAGATTTGATCATGCTGACCAGGAAAACTGGACAGAAGTTCTTGTTTGAAAAGAGATTCAACGAGGCTGTCCCTGCCGCCTTGCAGTCACTGAAGCACAGCATTGAAGTGTACGGGACCAGTAGTATTGAGCTGGTAATATCTTACCTCATACTGGCAGAGGCTAGCATTGGTAAGTTTCTCATTTTCCTTCAAGAATTTCATAGATAGATATGGTTGTCTGGCAGCATTAATAATTGTTATCTTTTTTAAAGCATTTTTTAACACCAAAAAACATTATGTGAATGGCTAATCCATTAGGACTAAACATTAAGCAACTTGGATCTTTGGACCTCTAAAATTACTATCCAATTTTTAAAAGGTTGTACGGTGAATTTACTTATTCGCGGTTTGACTTTGATTTCTGATTAAATTCAGCTCATTTCCTCGGATAAAAGGAAGGCAAACTCCACTATCGAACCGCGAAAGTTGAAAAGTTGGGGGAAAAAATCAGAAATAAAAAATTTTATCCCTATTGATCCAGTTTTCTCAAATTGGGTTAATCTATCTATATTTATCTATATCTATCTATCTTTCTATCTATCTATATATCTATCTATCTATCTATCTATCTATCTATCTATCTATCTGTATGTCTGTCTCTCTGTTTGTCTATCTATCTATCTATCTATCTATCTATCTATCTATCTATCTATCTATATTTATATCTATATTTTATTTCATATTTAAATGCGAGTGACAGCTATCTCCCATGTTTAAGCATAATAATTTTGCATCTTTGAGAAAAAATTTTTTCATGCTTAAGCGATATCATATAATGCAATGCTTAAAAAATGTTCATTTTTTTTCCGCAAGGTCATTCATTTTTCAGTACTTTTTTTTCAAGGCCAAATTAAGTCAGTCTATCTGTATACCAGCTTTTTCATTTACTTTGATTATGTCAGTCGACCCGTCTCCTATTTTTTTTAACCTTCAATTTGCTTTCGACGATTGAGTTCAAAATAGTACTACTGTCAAACGGTTGTCTCCAATCTTTCTTCTTCTTCGTCTTTATCTGGATTTTCTATCTTTTAATTTGATAGAAAATTTTGGATTTTCTATCTTTTTTTTTTCGATCCTTCTTTTTCGATATTTTTTTCTATCTTTTTTTCTGTCCTTCTTTTTCGATCTTTTTTTTAATCCATCTTTTTCTTTTTTTTCGATATTTTTTTCTATCTTTTCATTTACTCGTTTCTTGTGATCTTTCTTTTTCTTTTTTCTCTCTTTCTTTTTCTATCTTTCTTTTTCTATCTTTCTATTTCTATCTTTCTTTTTCTATCTTTCTTTTTCTATCTTTTTTTCTCTCTTTCTTTTTCTCTTTCTTTTTCAATGTTTCTTTTTCTATCTTTCTTTCTCTGTCTTTCTTTTTCTATCTTTCTTTTGCTATCTTGTTCTATCATTTTCTATTTTTCTTTTTCTTTCTTTTTCTATCTTTACTTTTCTATCTTTTTTTCAATCCTTCTGTTTCAATCCTAAATCTTTTTTCTATCTTTTTCGATCCTTCACCATTTCGCCACGCTTAAGCTTTTTAAACGTAGTCTTTTTGCACGTTTAACGAAAGAATATTTTCACGTTTAAGCTGTCTTATATTGCACTGGTTAAGTTTTTTTTCGATTTTCCAGTTTGAATTCAGTGGTTATTCCACCGAGTTTAAGTTAAGCAGCCCAATACCCAATAGTGGGATGCTGTCAGGGTTACCAAATACATTGCGAATTTGACCTCCAATTAAGAATGCTCAAATCTTTGAAGTGTACGAGATACGATGGTTTTTGATTTTTTTTTCAAAATTGTTCAGAAAACTCAATGTACAAAAGAGTGTACTAAAATTAAAGTTCCCAACCCTGTAATTGGATGCTGTCAGAGTACTCACAGGGTTGCGAACATTGCATGTAAATATGACTTCTCAAATACTTGTACGTTTCGATACGACGTTTGTGGTTTTCCAAAAAGTTTTGCAAAACTTGAATTAATTTTTATTTTCAAAATTTGAAATTTTCAACCCTGTAGTTGGAGGCTATCAGACTACTCCAGGGGGTTGCAAATCTTGCCTCCAATCACGCCTGCTCAATTTCCTGTAGTTATCGAGATATGACGCTTTTTGTGATTTTTCAAAAGAAAATTCAAAAAAATCCAATTATTTTTTTTTCAAAAATTGAAATGCCCTACCCTGTAGTTGAGTGCAGTTAGTGTATTCTCATGGGTTGCGAATCCTGTCTCAAAATATGACTGGTCAAATTCTTGCAGTTCTTGAGATTTGACGTTTCTGGTGATTTTTCAAAAAATTTTCAGAAATTTCAACTTGATTTTTTTAAATTTAAAATTCCGTATACCGTAGTTGGGATTACTGTGCAGTGTGGGTACTCATAGGGGATGCGAATCTTACCTCCAAATATGACTGCTCAAATTCTTGTACGTTTCAAGATATTACGTTTATTGTGATTTAAAAAAAATTTTCAGTGAACTTGATGAATTATTTTTCTTCAAATTTTGAAAATCCCAACCCCTGTAGTTGGGGGCTATCAGACTACTCGAGGGGCTTGCAAATCTTACCTACAAGTATGAATGCTCAAATTCTTTTAGTTTTCGAGATACGACATTTTTTTGGTTTTCCAAAAAATTTTGCAAAAACTTGAATTAATTTTTATTTTCAAAATTTGAAATTTTCAACCCTGTAGTTGGGGGCTATCAGAGTACTTAAAGGGGGTTGCAAATCTTGCCTCCAAATATGCCTGCTCAAATTTTTGTACTTATCGAGATGTGACGTTTTTTGTGATTTTTAAAAAAATTTTCAGAAAACTTAACTTGTTTTTTTTCCAAAAATTTGAAAGTCAACCCTGTAGTTGAGGGCTATCAGAGTACTCTCACGGGGTTGTGATTCTTGCATCCAATAATGACTGCTCAAATTCTTGTACTCATCGAGATGTGACGTCTTCTGTGATTTTTCAAAAACTTTTCAAAAAACTAAAGTTGTTTTTTTTCTTCAAAATTTGAAAATCCCTACCTTGTAGTTGGGTGCTGTCAGAGTACGCTCAGGGGTTGCGTATCTTACCTCCAAATGTGACTGCTCAAATTCTTGTACGTTTCGAGATATGAAGTTTTTTGTGATGTTAAAAAAATTTTCAGAAAACTTAACGAATTTTTTTTTCTTCAATTTTGAAAATCCCAACCCTGTTGTTGGGTGCTGTCAGATAACGCTCAGGGGTTGTTTATCTTGCCCCCAAATATGGATGCTCAGTTTCTCGCGAGTTTTGACGTTTTTTATTTTTCAAAAAAATTTCTGAAAAATTTATTTAAATTTTTTTTCTTTGAAATTTGAAAATCCCAACCCTGTAGTTGGGGGCTATCAGAGTATTCTCAGGGGTTGCAAACCTTGCAAGTAATTCTTTTTGCTCAAATCTTTCTAGTTTTCCAGATATTTTGTTTTTTTGTGACGTTTTTCAAAAGTTTTTCAGAAACTTCAACTTTGATTTTTTAAATTCAAAATGCCTTATCCCGTAGTTGGGAGTTGGGTGCTGTGTGGGTACTCATAGGGGTTGTGAATCTTACCTCCGAATATGACTGCTCAAATCTTTTTAGTTTTCGAGATATGAGGTGTTTTTTATGTCTTTTCCAAAATTTTCAGTTAACTTAGATTTAGAAAAGTTCACAAAATTTACATATCCCAACCCTGTGATTGGATGCTGCCAGGGTACTTTCAGCATTTTTAAATCTTGTAAAATATTTGTAATTTTCGAGATTTGTCGTTTTCGAGATTTTACGGAAAATAGGAATTAAAAAAATACAATATATGAAATTACCAACCATGTGCTGTCAGAGTAAACTAAAAGCCTGCAGATCCGGTTTCCAATATATGCGGTTTTTCATGAGTTGGCAAAAATTCGAAGCACCAGAGGTGCGTTACACGATAGTTTTATCGAAAACGTGCAAATCAGAAATTGTTCTAGAAATTCAAAGAGTTTTAAGGGCATCTTCCTTTTTTGAAATTCGAAAGTTGAGATTTTTTCGAAAAAGAATTTTTTTTTTTGTTTAATTGCGTTTATTGAATCTTTTCTAACAGTCCTTTGGCTATGTTTAATTAATGGCATCCACTTTCGGCCGACCAACCCTTAAGTTTTTTCTGAAGGCCCCTTTGTTGGCAATATGAAATAATTTTGAAGGGGAGTGCGCGCCCGCCCGCCGAAAAAACGCCAACTTTTGGTCAAAGTTTTCCAAAAAGTGCCTATAAACCGCTTTTTTACTTGTTTTTCCTAATTTTAGCTTGAAGCACAGAAAATTTTGTCAAATGAGGGTCTTTATAGTGCGCTGGGACCGCTCGGAAAGTCGATGTTGACCTAAAAAAAGGTCGACAAAATTTTTTGAAAGTCTGCACCCCCTCTCCCCCGAGAAAATCATAGATCCGTCCCTGGATCAGAGTATCTATGAAAAATATGTTTAGGACTTGACAAGTTGAACCAGGCAGAGCAGTATCTCTCTCAGGCGGAGTGGACTGTTCTGAAGACAGAGGAGGTGGGCAATGACTACAAAGCCAAGCTCTACACCAACATGGGTCTTCTCTATGACGCCAAGGCCAGCTACCAGGAGGCATTAAGAAACTTCGCTAATGGGGTAAGTGGTATGCCATAGTCACAATTGATGGAATTAAGCAAAAGTGACATCATTCTTCCTGAGGAAAATAATCGAATTTGATTGCTGAGTGGTTACGTGGTAAATTCAATCTCGATTGAGTTTTACGGAATTAGATTAGCTGCTTCTGGTATGTATTAAGAGTCGATGAACGTAGTTCAGACTCTTATATTGATCGCGATTTTTTTTTTCGTTTTTTAATGAAAATTCTAAAAAAGTTTCTCAAACTGACTTTTTCGCGGTTTGACTTTCTGTGTAATTCTTCTGTTGCTATCGAAAAGCAAAAGTGCAAAGGTCACGAAAAACGTGACCGACTTCTATTTTTTTTTTTCAGATTAAAAAAATTCAAAAATCAAGTCAGTATTTTTTTGTTTATTTGAGTTCATTAATTATTTTATCCAACTGTCACCTAATCGAAACATCTATCTATTATATATTTAAATGCGGGCTTCACTATCTCGCCATGTTTAAGCCTTTTCAGCGTATTATTTTTGCATGTTTAAGCTATACCGTATAATGCAATGGTTAAGATTTTTTTATATTTTCTCTCAAGGATTGCGAATCTTGTCTCCAATTATGACTGCTCTAAACCTTAAGCTATATCTAAACCTTAAGTTTTTTGTGTTTAAGCTACATCGTATGTTGCAATGGTTAAGGTTTTTTCTCAAGCATTGCGAATCTTTTCTCCAATTATGACTGCTCTAAACCTTGTAGTTTTCGAGATACGACGTTTTTTGTGATTTTTTTCAAAATTTTCAAAAAACGTGATTCAATTTTTTCTTCAAAATTTGAAATCCTCTACCCTGTAGTTGGGTGCTGTCAGGGTACTCTCAGTGGTTGCAAATCTTGCCTCCAAATATGACGGCTCAAATCTTTGTAGTTTTCGAGATATGACGTTTTTTGTGATTTTTTCAAAACAAGAATTCAAAGCAAGAATTCAAATGCCAATTCTCAACCCTGTAGTTGGGGGCTATCAGAGTACTCTCAGGGGTTGCGAACCTTGCCTCCAATTATGAGTGCTCTAATCCTTGTAGTTTTGGAGATACGATGTTTTTTGTGATTTGTTTTCAAAAATTTTCAATTAACTTGAAATTATTTTTTCAAATTTTGAAATTCTCTACCCTGTAGTTGGGCGCTGTCAGGGTACCCTCACTGGTTGCGAATCTTGCGTCCAAATGTGACCACTCGAATATTTGTAGTTCTCGAGATTTGACGTTTTCGGGATTTGAGTTTTTAAAATTTGAAAATACCAACCCTGTAAGATCTGGTTTCCAACCCTGCAGATCTGGTTTTCAATATATGTGGTTTTTCATGAGTTGTCAAAAATTCGAAGCACCGGAGGTGCGTTACACGCTAGTTCGATTTAAATTGGTAGTTTTTAGATCTACTACGCGAGCGAGGAGTATGGAACAGACGACATAAGGACCTCCTCTGCCTACTTCTACATGGCCAATGTATTCCTCAAGCAGAACAGGCCAGAAGTCACTGGCTCCATGTACAAACAGGTGAATGAAAAAGATAAACAAACATCATTAGCTCTAATCGTTTTATGAAGTGACAATCGTTTTATGACAAGAGACAATACTACTATTGTTTTTTCCCTATTCAAACTGATTGTCTTTATTTGGGCTAGTCTCGAAGTTATTGCTAGGGTTTTAGTGCAAATCCAGAAAGTTACAGTACTGGGAACAAGAAGTCATTGTGAACATGTTTTCTGACCTAAGAGAGGCACTGGTGGCCCCCTTACTGTTTTGTGACATATTTTTGGCTGACCGACGCTCAAATTTACATAAATTTTTGGGCTGTGCGCGCTGGAAACGCGATTTATTGGTTAAAACCTTCCTAAAAGTTACTGAAAACGTCGTTTTTGGCCTGTTTTGCTTTAATTTGAGTCAGCCTGAGATAGATCTTAATGGTCTTCCGGCAGAGCTCAGAAAATCAATATGATCGATTTAAATACAAGTTCTAATTTTTTGATATATTTAAAAAAAATCTTCACCTCTTCGAAAAAATGCTAAATTGGCCCGTGCAGTCATGTGGATTTGCTTTTTACTTTATGTATTTTTTCATTCATTGCTTAAAGTTTTATATGCTTGTTTAGGTAGTTGAGATTTGGCAGCAGAAATTGGAGGAGCTCTGTTCGGCCAAATTAAGCAGACCCAGCACCACTGCTGAACAGAAGAGATCCATCCTGGGCAAGAAGGGCACAGGAGGGTCAACAGACCAGTCTCTGGGCTCAGTCGACGGAGAACTGGGTTGGTTTGCTTGCTCGTAAAGAAAAAAAGAGAAACTCGTAATTGAAACGCCGCCTGCTTGACAACTTTTTTAAGGAATAGCTTGATTAGTTGTTGACCAAATCTAAGTGGCAGTTTGATTGATTGGATCTTGTTAACTATCACCCCCCTATTTGCAATAGGGCGGGATAGTTGATAGTTAACAAGGTACAAATTTCGTATATGCTTAGCTTTTCAATTCTTTCTTTACGTTGGGGGGGGGGGGAGAGATTACAAGGAACCATAGGGGGGATAGTTAAGATTGATTGAACTTTTCATTGATGTGGCCTGATACAATTCCTCAGACCTTGATACAGCGAGTGAGACTCTCCTTAGGAACTTTATTCTGTTTTTTTTAAAGCTGTATTTTTTCACCAGACATTGCGCAGCAGGCGGAGGCTAGACAGGTGTTGTCTTCTATCTACGAGTACTGGAGTGAAAAGGAGGTGGATGTGGATGGGACCTCTCTAGCCACCCTCCTCCTCACTCTCGCCTACTTGGAGTTCTACCTGGACAACACCCCACAGGTAACAAACTACATCTTAGATCATTATGTACTTGAAAATCCGTCGAAGATGTTGTATTTTGATATTGCGGGAATCTTCTTACGCATTATTTAAAAAAAGACAACCCATTACCATGCCAGTATGATTTCTGACAAATTGTTAGCTCTAAAAATTCAGTTTTTCTAAAAATTCAGTAAAAATTCAGTGCCGTAATTTTCGTTAACGTTTTGCATTTAGTTACCAAAAATTAATTTTTTAAGGTTTATACCCGAATTTTTGTCTGTGCTATAATTTCCAAACATCCCAAGGCCCTGTCAGGCCTGTTGTCGCCTAGTTTGATAGTAATTACTCACTCACATGTTCATACACGAGTGGTTTCAAACTTTTCTGTTTAAAAATGATACATTTTCTTAAAGAGTGTGGATCTTCTGGCTCGAGCGAGAGACACGCTGGATAAGACAGACTCTCTGGGATTCGAAGGAGATGAGCTAAAAGAGACCATTGAAGTGGTCGCTTCTCAGATCGGAAATACACCAGCTGCGCTGAGGTCAACGGGGTCCAAACAATAGTCAACTAAAGAAGGATTCGAAAATGTTCTATTTGTGAATAAGACACTTAACTGTACAAATATTTTTGTAAAGTGTATAAAAAGCTAACTTTGTTTATATTGTACAGCATCAATAAAGGTTTAGTAGTTCGATTTGTGAATTCGGAACACTAATTTGTTAAAAAGAAGTGTTTTTCAGCTTGCGGTAAAACTATTTGAAAAAAAAAATCAGTTTTAAGACAATTTCAATAAAAATCAACCATATAGTCTTTAAAGAACTACAAAAAAAGTTTTTTCAAATTTGTAGATTTCTCTCCGTGGTCTGACGTAAAACTAGAATTTAAGCATATTCGACAGTCCTAGGATTATAAGCAAATTGGGCAAGAGTTTTTGTAGAAAAATGAATAGAAAAACAAAAATTCAAAAACTTTTTTTTTAATTTACAGAAAGCTTTTGATTCGCAAAATGGCACTAGGAAAATACAAAAACTAATTTTACTTATGTAAAACAGTCTTCAGTGCTTAAAATTGGCAAAGAAAGCTGTTGAGAGCCTGCTCGCTCGCTTTTACGCTGGAAATTGAAAAAAAAACCAAAAATTTGAAAGCAGTTCTCGAAAGAGCAATTTTTTGAAGTTTGTTAATGTTCGAACCACGACTTAAAGGACTTCAATTTGGTGTATCATTCGATTCATTTCGATGATTTTTTTGTGGTACCTGATTTTGCGTGGAAAACAGAAAATAGAAAAATAAAAAACACCCGAAAAAAATGCTGAGAGAAATTAGATTTTCATAGGGACTTCGACAATTGGTCTGAAGTGACTAAAGATGGTGTTTAGATAAATCAGGGTTGGCTAGAAAAAGCTGATTGACATAACTTGGTGAAAACAAAACATAATTCAGAAACATTTTCTTTACACCACTTTTGTGTCGTACAATGTTACTGTATCCACTTTTTTCCATTTTAAGTCAAATTTCAAGTTTATTTTGTGGAATTCAGTTTTACACATGCGAGCGTAGTGTAAAATTGCTATGATTATTTTTTCAAGCTAAGTCACGAATTTTTTTTTTGCCTAATTTGGTGCACACTTACGGCTTTTTGGTAGCATTTGTCTCTTAGTAATTACGCTTGCGATTAGCAAAGTGTTGCCAAACTGGAGTATAGACTTTTTTCGGGTTAACAACGTGTTCAACAGAATCACTTGAATCAGCTAGGTGCGAAACTGGCGGGGCCTGTTTTTTTTTGCTAGGGGAATTAATCCGTTTTTGAAAAAATTGTCGGCTTATTATTGTTTGCTTATGTTTTGTCGGCTTAGTTGCCATATTAAAGATTTTTTTTCTTGCATTATAGTTGCTTTTAGTGTTCTAGTTAACTTCTGTTGTTTTTTATAATTTTACTAAAGTTGACTCCGTATCTATATCCGTGTATAACGACTCAAAAGTAGGTCACTAAACCGATAAAAATGGGTCAAAATTTTTCAGGCAAAATAAATTTTTCGAATTATTTATGTATTCTTCGATTCGAAAAATTTATTTTGCCTGAAAGATTTTGGCCCATTTTTAGCGGTTTAGTGACCTAATTTTGAGTCGTTTCAATGGAAACATATTTTTATGCATACCTGTGGATCGAGCAAAACGCTAATTTTTTTGAAAGAATTTTTTCAAATGAATGGGTTATACATGATTTAAAAAATTGGATATTCCAATGTAATAAATTGAAAGATTTGACCTTTTGGCTGCCCACCTATTTTTTCAGACCCGTATAGACCTAAAATTATTGTCTTTTTGGTGGATTCTTGGACTTAATTCAAGTTTCCAAAAACGTACTGCTAATTCTGAATTATTTATTTTAATCAAACTGAATTGTTTTAATCTTTCGAGCAAAAACTTGTTTCCCGGAAATTTTGAATTTCGCATCAGTATAATTTCGCATGAAGTCCTACCTTTCGCAGAAGTATAATTTGAAACATATTATCAAACAGGTACCTCCAACATAAGCTGGGCTACTAGTGCTTAGAGGCAAAGATGCTAGCACACGAGCTGCTTAATCTCTACTCGGAGATCCAATTTAGATTCGCAGAATTTTAATAACGATTGCGATTAGCTAGCGTTATCAAATCGGAATGTAGACTTTTTTCTGGGTTACCAACTAATTTATCAAAATCAGTTGAATCACTTATTCAAGTTCAGCTTCACTTAAAACTGATCATATTCCGCTTCGCTTTTTGTTCAGTTGCTAATTTGAAACTCAAATGTCTTGTTTGGCATAATTGCCTTTAGTTCCTGTTTGATAAAAACAGGTATTTTGAAAATGTATCAGATTGGATTTTCATTTGATTTTTTTGAGAAGCTTTGGAAAATTTTACAATTTTTTGAAAAAAATTTAGTTCTTTCTTAAAAACTTTCTACCAATTTTAAAAAGGGTAATCGATAAAAAGATCTTCTACGTCATTGTGTGCCTGATTGCTCAGCTGGTCTCTACTTGTTTTACTCCTTTGTTTACAGCTGTCGAATCGAAAAAGTCTGTGTGGGGATATTTGACCGATATTTTTGATGTTGCTTTCGTTTTCTCAAAAAATTAGCCTACCAAGCTTGGAATCTTATTTTTTTTGAATCAAACGAACTTGAAAAGCTCCCTCCTATGAGCAATTATCCTCAATTTTTTTTAAACATTAAACTATGGCCATTGGAAAAAAAAGTTTTTTTAACCGTTTTTTGATTTTTTTAACTTCTCTCGGGAACTATCCTGCCAAATCTGATATCATAGGTTCAATTGTCACAACATATTGCTTAAAATTTACTTTTTTGGTTTGCTACGCCCAATTTTTTTGTGAAAAGTGTGATTGCTTTCAAACAAGTGATTGGTTTGAAACTTCGACCGTTTTTCAAGTTTTTGACTTTACTCGAAAATTGCTGTGCCATGTCACATCTTAAGTCTTCACTCGAGATATCTCATTATGGAAATTTTTTCTTCTTTACCGGCCTTGACTTGTTTTTTGCAGAAAAAACTTGTCGATATCGGAAACTCAAGTTCTTGAACTTTGACCGTTTCGTAGGTGTCCTTCATCAAGACTTATGAAAATTATGGTTCAGTTAGTTTTTTCAACGATTGTCATTTTTTTCGACTTTTTGTGATTTCCTTGTATCAAAAGTGGTGCAAAGCTCCACTTAGCCTCTGTATTAGTTTTATTTTCCAAAATTTTTTTTTGACCCATTTAGCGCTTCTTTTTGCGCTTTTCTTCCTTTTGTTTGAGAAGTGCAGCTTCACCTCTGTTTACACGGTTGCGATAAGCAAGCGCTTTAAAGTCAGATTATAGGTTGTTTAAGTTAGCAACTATTTCAATCAAAATTAATGAACCATTCAGTTGGTATAGTTGCTTAAATGTAAAGTCTGAGCAGCTTTTTTTTTTCTGCTCGTGTGAGCAGTTTATACTGCTGTTCCAATTAAACCGACATTTCATTTTTTTTCATTATTGAACTCCAGACGGTGAGCATAGTGTCATATTACTAACTCTTCTTCTCTCCAAACGTACTCGCATATAGCAGTACTTTTCGGTGGAAATTTTGTTGCTTAATATTGGCAGTTTGGCAGTTTAGTATCATGGATTTTCCAAATTATCCATTACTTTTGTTTAGATTCTGTAAGAGTCAGTGACACAGATGAGCACGGCAGTTGACTTGAAAAGTCAGATGTCTGGTGGTTGAAGCTCAAATTATTTTTCAAAACTGCTCTCCATTTTCACTTTTTTCTCATCTTTGATCTTTTTGAAATTACTTGTTGTATTGAAGCAAGAAAACGAATTATAGAGTGCAGTGTAATAAATCCAACCGTATCGATAGACATACCCGCTAACTGCATTGCTAAATTTAGGATTTTATTACAGACAACACCGATGTCAATTATAATTGACAGGCAAGTCTCCACACATCTTCAAGAACAATACATAAATTCACAAAATAACGCTATGACGTAGGGTTGGCCAATGAACTTGAAACGAATGTGAAAAATTATTAGGAACTGAGTTAGCTGCAGCGCTGGTACTCTTGCAATCATGAGCGTTTTCTATATAGCTTTTTCTTTTTTTATATACGTATCAATGTATAGTTTTATTTTTATAGTTAATTACGCTTGCAAATGGCAAGCGTTGTCAAACTGGAATATAGACTTTTTTCGGGCTAACAACTTGTCTAACAGAATCACTTGAATAACTTATATCTTGGTTCATAATGAATTCAAGCCTCTATTGGTTAACAGCCTACTTAGCCTGGAGGTAACAAATACGCCTTGGACGGCAATGGTCCTGTGTTAGAATCTGTTCTTTTTTCAAACGGGAAATATTCTGTTTCAACTAAAATTGTCTGCCATTTATTTGTTTGCTTATCTCGACCGCCTAATTATCACATCTTGGATTTGATTTTTTTTTGCTGTGCGCATTTTTGTTAAGTTATTTCTAATGTTTGTTTTACTTCTAAAACATGTAATTTTACATTTATCTTGATTTCGTATTTCCTTCTAATTTTTATTTCGTTAAAAAAATTACTCGGCCTAAATTACTTTGGCCTATTTTTTTAAATAGATTTAGTGACCTTATTTTGGGGTGTATCAAGGAAAACACAGTTTTTTGCTGCCCTCCGCATTTTTCAAATTAGTTGTACTTTTACCAGTAGGTTTGTTCAAATTTCAATTTTTTTTTCGTTATTGAAAATTATTTACAATTTTATTGGAAGGTTTTTAGTTTCTCTCAGAAACTTCTTTCTCAGAATATAGGCTGTTTAAGTTAGCAACTATTTCAATTAAAATTAATGAACCATTTAGTTGGTATAGTTGTTTAATTGTAAAGTCTGGGCAGCTTTTTTTCTGCTCGTGTGCAGCTTATACTGCTGTTCCAGTCAAACCGACATTTCATTTCTTTTTCATTATTGAACTCCGGATGGTGAGCATAGTGTCATATTACTAACTCTTCTTCTCTCCAAACGTACTCGCAGATAGCAGTGCTTTTCGGTGGAAATTTTTTTGCTTATTATTGGCAGTTTAGTATCATGGATTTTCCAAACTATCCATTACTTTTGTTTAGATTCTGTAAGAGTCAGTGACACAAATGAGCACGGTAGTTGACTTGAAAAGTTAGATGTCTGGTGGTTGAAGCTCAAATTTTTTTTCAAAACTGCTCTCCATTTTCACTTTTTTCTCTTCTTTGATCTTTTTGAAATTACTTGTTGTATTGAAGCAAGAAAACGAATTATAGAGTGCAGTGTAATAAATCCAACCGTATCGATAGACATACCCGCTTACTGCATTGTTTAATTCAGGCTTTTACAGACAATACCGAGGTCAAATATAATTGACAGGCAAATTTCCACACATCTTCATGAACGTTACATAAATTCACAAAATAACCCTATGACGTAGGGTTGGCCAATGAACTTGAAACGAATGTGAAAATTTATTAGGAACTGAGTTAGCTGCAGCGCTGGTACTCTTGCAATCATGAGCGTTTTCTATATAGCTTTTTCACTCTTTATATACGTATCAATGTAAAGTATCAAGTATTTTTATTGTTAATTACGCTTGCAAATGGCAATCGTTATCAAACTGGAATATAAACTTTTTCGGGCTTACAACTTGTCTAACAGAATCACTTGAATAACTTATATCTTGGTTCATAATGAAATCAAGCCTCTCTGAGTTAATATCCCACTTAGCCTGGAGGTAATAAATACGCCTGGGGCGGCAATGGTCCTGTGTTAGAATCTGTTTTTTTTTCTGCCATTTATTTGTTTGCTTATCTCGACCGCCTAATTATCACATCTTGGAATTGATTTTTTTTACTGTGCGCATTTTTGTAATGTTAAATATAATGTTTGTTTTACTTCTGAATTATGTAATTTTACTTTATCTTGATTTCGTATTTCCTTCTAATTTTTATTTCGCTAAAAAAATTGCTCGGCCCAAATTACTTCGGCCTATTTTTTTATAGATTTAGTGACCTTATTTTGGGGTGTATCAAGGAAAACACAGTTTTTTTGCTGCCCTCCGCATTTTTCAAATTAGTTGTACTTTTACCAGTCGGTTGGTTGAATTTTCAATTTTTTTTTTTCGTTATGGAACTTATTTTCAAAAAAGGGTATCAATCGAAAAAGCGCCTTCTCCCTTGTGAGCCTGCATACTCCTCTAGAGCTTTTTTACTTGACCCCTGTGTCTATATTCTACAGAAAATTCGCAGGAGAATATTTGACCCATATTTTTATGGGGGAATATTTGAACCAAATTTTTGATATTTTCGTTTTCTAAAAAACTATTTCTCTCAAATCTGAGTTTTTGGTCTCATGAAAAAAAAAACAGTTTCGAAAAATTTCTAGCATATGAGGCCACGTCCATTTGTTTCACACATAAAGTTATCGCCCTCGGAATAGTCAAAATTTTGATTGTGACTGTTTTGTGAATCTTTTCGGTTTTTCTCGAAAACTAAACTCTCAAGTCTGATATTGTGGGTTTAATGGAGATAACGCGTAGAGAAGCTGCCTGGCTTCAGCGGTCACTGAAAACGTTTTTTCACTGAAAAAGTTATCTTCCTCGGAAAAGTCAAACTTTTGATGTTTTGACTGTTATTAAATTTTTTTGAATATTCTCAAAAACAGCCCTGCCATATCTGAGATTTGGTTTCAATTCAAAGAACGGATTTCAAGAAGCTCATTTCGATATGTGACAACGCCCATATTTTTCTGACACCATAAGTTATGGCTCTCGGAAATGTTGATTTTTGACCGTTTTTTAAGTTTTTTGTTCTCGAAAACTACCACCCTAAATCTAACATTTTATGCTCAATCCAAGTTACAGGTAGCGTGAATTCCTTCTGCATAAGGTGCTACGCTCTACTTTTTCACACAAAAAACTATTTTTCTCGGAAGTAATCAAATTTTAGATTTTTTGAGTGCTTTTTGGACTTTTCTCGCTAGCTATGTTGCAAAATCTGATATCAAAGGTTTAACCGAAACAACAGTTTTCCTGTTTTTTTTTTCATTCATTTTCCCATTGCGTTGTCTTTTTGTTGTCTTTTTAATCCTCCTTATTATCACCTCACCCATCTTTGTGAATGCTTTGCGTTGCCGAGTTGATGTACTCGCCGGTGTTTTAATAATGGTTTCACGATTCTTTCGCCTCCGGTTCCGTTTGGCTTGTTTTCTCTTAAAGTGTCCGCTCATTCACCCGCCATTTTTTATTCTTGCCCTTTTTCGGCAGTCTCGTCTGTATTATCATCGTTCGATTCCTCGACACGTCGTTTTTTCTGTTTGCTGCTGCCCGTCGTTTTTCTTGATCGCTATTTGTCCATAGGTTTTGCCCCAGACTGTTCAGCTTCGATTGGTAGGAGCTCTAAATTTTCCGGCCTGCCTGTACACTTATTGATGGGCCTGTCGTGTTGGACACTGGATCTAATCTAAACGCGACCTAACTTCGTCTCAACAAATGGACTTTTTTCCAATGTTACACAGTGTGTTGTCAATTATTCATTTTTCTCACCAGGTTTTTTTTAAATATCTGGTGGGTTCTTTGGGGACTTTTAACTGAAGGCATTTAGGTCTATTTGTTAACGGGTTTTATATTTTTTTCTGTTTTACCTTAGTTAGATGACAACGTAGTATTTAAGTAACGTTATGGTTCTTTGGATCCTTTCTGTTACTCTGTGGTCTCGAACCGGTGACTTGAATAACACACAGCGCTCAATGTTACAGAAAAGTTGGATTTTTTCCGTAACAAATCCGTCGCTTTGTCCATATGCAGTTTTTGCATGTGCCCGTGAGCCGCGATAGATTTTCTGAGAATTCTTAGGTCATGCCTAGACTTGTTACTTGAGCATATACGCTAAATTCCAGTGTGAAAAAACATCAACTAGTACAAAAGAGTATTTTTTCGGCCATTCATATAGTTTTACGGGTCCCTGAAAACCGAATTACTCAACTTCATTTGGTTCCCTTGGTATATAGCTTTACCCATAGGCATATTGGGCTTGAGATTTTTCACTGCTTCTGGGCATTGTTTGCAGTATTTTGAGGTTGCAGCTAAAACTCGATGTATTATTAACATCCAAATGTTCTTGCGGCCGCGTACATCTTGTTCCAACCGTGGTGGTGAAAGTGTAGCTGGTTCATCATCGCCATTGATAGTGCCTTTGGTATTGCCAGTCTGCCGTTCTTACACAGGCAGTTTTCCCAAACCGCAAAATCGTGGTACTGATGGTCGTAGTATTGGCCCAATTTGGTTATGATTTCTTTAGCCTGTAGACCACAATTACGAATTGCACATCGTAATCTCGTATCATTTTCAGTATTGGGTTGTTTTCCAGATTTTCCTCCACTAATTTCAGAGACAATATTTCCGGTTGCTCATTTTTCTGCAGTATTATGAAGTCCTGGTTATTACCGAGTGCACTCAATTTTCCGTGTTGATAAAAGAGTAAGATAAACCAGGAAAATTTTTTTATGTACAAATTTTTTCGGGCGTACACTTTAATTTCTCAATATCAGCTATTCGAGCTTTAGATTGGATGCGGTTTTGCCAGATTGTTAAGAACAACAGTTAATTTCACATTTTCTGATTGGGTTGAGATTTTTATTGTTTCAATACCATCTGATTTGTCGGGTGTTGAAGTGGAAAAGTTTTGAGGCGTCTTTGAATTCTGAGCAACTTGAGAGTAACTCTACACACAACCCTGAGAATGAGGTCTGACTTTTCGGTTACTGTTTTTGCATATATCTAATAGGCAAGTTCCACGATTCTTATTGGTTGATTTTTTCAGCATTACTTCATGCCCTTGCTCGGCTTAAATGAGTGACAAGTTTTATTCGCGTAATCATTACTGAACACGTTCTTATTGGCTGAGACGAATTTGCATGAACGTACATCCTCTACCATTTGGTTTTGGCAACATTGGCTAGAGTTTCTCCCCGTGCTTCCTCTGGTGTCTTTTTTCCCTTGGCGGATATATTGTCCTGTCATAATTTGAATTTTCGGCAACGGAGGTCGCCTGCCTAGAAAAAAATCTTGAAAAGTAATCCACCATTCCCATTTTGGCTCATTGCCGATGTAACTGTCGGTCACTCGAATTTGTTAATTTACTCTCCTCTCTCTTTCTCTCTCTTCATTATCTTTCTATCTCTCCTCTCTCTCTCTCTCTCTCTCATTTTTTTTGTCTGCAAAAGGCTTCCTGTACATGAGCTGTATGGCCACTTCAATACCTCACCTGTCAGTTTTTCTTTTCGAAAAAGCAATTTTAAAGAAATGAAATTTGATCAGAGGGGCTTGTTAATTACTAAACATTGAACATTCAAAATGAGTTTACATTTATTGGAATGAAAAATTCTGCAAACTAAATCAAATCACAATTAAAAACATCTATTTTTCCAACGCTTTCTGCGTTTTGATATTTCAATTGAACAGACTCCAGTCTTTTTTTCCCGAAAGCGAAGGAATGCTTATTAAATCACAAATTTTGAGAAAAACAGCGGTTAAAAATGATAGGTTTTGTTTGATTACATAACAGAACACAACTCTATCTTAGAATTGTCTTAAGTTATGCTCAAAGTTCTATAAGCATAACCAGACTTATACTGTTGACTTCGCGACAGAGCTAGTACTCTGGCCAAACGTAAATGATCCTTGAGAGGGGTCTCTAGATCGAGCCGATTTCTCCTGATTTTGGTAGGTGCTGTTTGGAAACCTGCTCGTAGTTCCAGTCCTGGTCGGTTCCTGCATCTGAATTGGCCTGCCTCTTCGCATCTGTTCTCGGTTTTCTCTCGGTTCACGAATACATCGGCGGCAGAACAGTCGGCGAATGGCCGAGCGGATCCGAGGAGAAAGAATGATAATTACAAGTGGGTTCAGAGCCGAATCGAGACATCGGAAAGCGATTGAGTTCGAGACCACTAGGAACCCGAACAGTTCGCTTCCGAACAGGTTCATTGTGCCGCGAGGACTCGTTGAATATATATAGAGTCGGGAAAAGTGAAAGGGGAAGGTGAAAATTGCGAACAGCATGACGTTCAGTGCGAGCATGGACACGACGTTCATTCGGCTTTTAGCCGAGTGAAGCTGACTGGTTTGATTGGTTTGTCGTGACACTGGTTGCGAAGACTGTAGTTTGCAGTTGCTTCTGTGATGAGATGTAGTGTGCACTTGTAGCCGGTTCGGATTTGCTCGGTCAGTTTCGTCCCTGTCAGAGTTGAGAGAATCGTTGATCGTGCTGCTCTTCTCAGCTTTTGATGAAGTTTTCACACTGTGTGCACCTGAGAACAAATCCAGTTTTATTGCATGTGGGCAGACTTAGAGCTAATTTAAACTGATCAGAAAAAAAACAATAAGTCGGAACAATAACCACCCAATTTGAGAAAAAAATCTTCAATATTTTTGTCCGTTTAATTTAAGTGGACACTATGTACGGCTTCATGAAAGAATTTTACTCTTTGCCGCCCATAAAATCCCCATTTGGTGTTATATTACGCCATCCAGTTTTGTCAAAAAAAATACCCTGGCTGGTTCAAACTATTATTTTGCGCATTGAGTACTTATGATTTTTTGATTCGATGGGTCTAAAATTGTTGTTGAAAAATATTTTCTGAAAACGCCCTTTTCATCGAACATTATAGATCCGCCCCCTGCATGTATCGTGCGTCATAAAAGTAAGGGTGAAGAATCAGCGAACCGGAAATCATAATGGCCTGCTGTCGGATGCTGTTTCGCAGCTGGCGTATCACGACCGAGTACACGACTGTCATACCAGCCAATGGGACTGCGTAGAACAGCAGGGTCTCTGCAATGTATATCTCAATGTGTTTGTCCGGATTGTAGCAGTTCGTGGATCCATTGTACTCCAGTTCGACGAGAGTAACCGAAAACAGCAATCGGCCCGAAAGAATTGCTGGCAGAACCCACGCTAGGACAGCCGCCACAATGAGTTTTCGCCTGCTCAGCACCGATGAGGCGGAAAGGGGTCGAGTTATGGCGATGTATCTGACAACAAAAAGAAAACTAACTCACATGTCACAAACAGGTAGACTCACAAATTGACTGATCCATTTTGCAGCCATGTGTAACTGCCAGCACTGAAACTAGCAGAATATGCTGAGCCCAATGAGGAGCACAGAGAGAACTGTAAAGCTCGCTAAAAATAACTATCGGATTTTCAACTCTTTGTTTTTCGGTCTGCAAACAGTCAACATTGAGCCAACTTCTCAGAAAAACCCAAGCTGCTTGTTCAAATCATTTTGCACGGATATGTGGTGAGATATTTGATTGAACAGCTTTTAGAAAATCATAATAAAAAATTAGCAGGTTCTTTTCAGAGTGTCACAACGTTTCGACCACGTAATAAATTTAGTATAGAATAAACTTACACACTCAAAATAAGACAAAAATATGGTACAGCTGTTATTCTTGTCTTCGCCGAATTATTCAAACTTGTTTCACAAGTTTTTTTGAATCATCGTCATCCATATAAATTTTTAATTCACCTCAAGAAATATTTGCCAATTTTTTGTCAAGCAGAAAAGTTTGAGTAAAAGTTGCCACTACAAAATCATTTTGAGCTACAATAAACGGTGTTACAAGAGGCACAGTGCGTGGTCGGATTTTTTTCATACTATATATGAACGATTTCAAGCCAAACATTCGAAAAATATATTCGAACCATTGAGTTTGCAAATGATAAATCTGGAATTTGTGCGAAGAAAACTCGTCTATTTTAAAAGTTAACTTTCAAATAAGACTGCTCGTAGCAAGGTAAAACCCTAGTTGTTCTGACTACCTTTTGAGTGGTCTCGGATAATTTGGTAGATTAAATATTGGCAAAGCTATGAAATTTAGGCTGATAATATCAAAAATTAAGTGATTCAATTTGAGTCGAGTATGGAGTTATTAGTGGTGTGCACAGTCTGCTGGCAACATGCAGCTCAAAATATCGATCTTCCGAGGAAACAGAGTTTTATAAAAGTGGCCTGAACAAAAAACCACCCCGAGCATATATAAGTCGGAACTATGCAGGATAAAAGCTGTCGTCCAAAATTGTATTTCTGGTATAAACTTATGCAACCAAATTCGACGAATTCTCGGGCTTTTTTCTGAGCCTTCAATTTCTTCTACTGTAAGTAATGCTGTTTATTTTTTTTTCTCTACCACTTTGCAAGTTTCTGCAAACCCCATGTTTTATTTTTTTTTAGTTTGCGCCCTTAGATGTTAAAAGGTAGTCTGAACCTTCAGGGCTTTCGCCTGGTATTTGCAGTCTTTTTAAATTTTCTAGCAGATTGTTATCGCGGTAAAATAATTACGTAAATTACCCCCATTGATTAGTATTTCCGTTTTAAACTGATGCTATTTTGAAATTCAGCTGAACATAGCCAAAGGTCTTCAGAGAAACTTACGGCATCTGAGCATATGTTGAGCATATTTTTCTCAAAACATATTTTCAACAGAACATATTTTTAACAAAATGCAAAGCTAGAGCGGAAAAAAACGAGTAAAAAAAATCATAATAAATTATTGTATTAGCACGATAACAAGATACAGGAAAATTGCATAAATTGGCGACTAATCTGAACGCTAAGACTACATTTTGTCGTACGAAAAATTTTTCAACAACACATTTTTCCGCCTCTTTGGGAAAGTTTTGACAAAAAATCAAACTTTTTTGCGGCATGCTTTCCCCTTTCAGATCTATCATGTTTTAACCCATAGACAACTTAGGGTGAGTTGGCAGGAATTTGATGTCATAAAACAAAATTACAGGAAAACTCTATTGATAGAGTCATGATAGAGTCAAATTCCTAAGGTCAGGGGGAAATCCGACAACCCTTAATTTCGCCTCTGGTTTCTCGGGTGTTTCAAACTTCGTGCTCAAACACATTGGGAAAAAAAAGTTGGAACTGACCTATTTTTTTTCCAGATTATCTGGTTTTTTTAAAAGTTTTTATTGCTATGCCAGAGAGAAATTATTGGTTTTTCACAGAGAAATCTGAGAAATCAGTTTGCCATTACTGATTCAGGATCTGATCTGAGGCATGTTATTCGCGGTCAGGGGGAAAAAATTGATGAAACAGACTTGAAAATCTGAGTCCTATAAAAGCTTCGAACCTTTTTTGAATCAAGGTTTACTTTCAGAATTCGCGCTGAATCATCTTCTGAATGCTAAAAATCTTAAATCCCTAAGGGTTCGAACGAACACTCAATCAGTAGCTCTCCAATCATGCACGTTTTTTCTTCGCCAATGTCGCTGAAAATTATCTCAAAATAGATTTTAACATTAGTAAAAGCTCACCATAATAAAGCATCTTTGTGCGTACAATAGCCTGAACTGCATAAATATTTCTTGATATTTTTGATGATTATCTTCTCTTTAATTAGTGGAAAATCAAAAAGTTATCGATAATTCACTGCTCTATTTTTCTGTGAACTGTGCTGCATTTCAAAATACTATGTGTTATTGCTAAATCTGCAAGATCAACGCGGGAAAAAAACAGGTATTCATACTGTTTCACGCAATGACTTTGTGTACGCACAAATAGCCTGAATCTCTAGTTTTGGATATATAAATGCAGGGGCGGATCTAAGACTTTCTCGAGGGGGGGGGGGGGGGGGGGGGGGTTTCAAAAAAAAATTCGAAAATTTTGACGACCTTTTTTTTTAGGTCGACCAAATTGATTTTTCGAGCACTGTTGGCACTGTTTTGCCCCTATTTTGGCAAAAGTTTCTGCGCCGCAGGCAAATTTTTGAAAAAACAGTCAAAAAAGCTGTTTTTGGGCACTTTTTGAAAAATGTTGACAAAAATATCGAGTTTTTTTGGCGCGCGCTCCCCCTCAAAGTTAGTATATATTGGCGCCGAAGGCGCTTTTAGAAAAATTTTAGGGTCGGTCGGCCAAAAATCGATTTCTGAAAAACTATCAAAGGGGGGACCCTTTGGGTCGGCAAGGGGTCGAATCTCTGAGGGAGGAAAGCGTCCGCCCCCCCGCCCCCCCCCCCTAAATCCGCCCCTGTATAAATGCTTTTCGTTGAGCTGTAGCCTAAGGAATTTCAACTTCATAGTATGCCTAGCTCGGCTTCCACCAGAAAAAAAATGAGAAATTTTTTCTGGAAACCAATTGGCTGAAAGAATCTGTTACTGATTCAATTTTTATTAACACAAGAAAAACGATCAAATTTAGTGATAATTTGCAGCTTTTAAACAAGTGTAACACTTGAGCTATTAGTTGCCACCGCTGTATTTTCTCATGTAACCTTTTTTTAAGTTTTCTCGGATTTTTTTGTTCCGACTTTCGATACGAAAGTAACGGAAAATTTGTGCTCGGGGTGAGTTTTTTTTTCTTCAGTCAAATTTCGACTTTTTAACTAGCCATTTTGACGGATATTTTTTTCATCATTAAAAGGTATTGTTGTCCTGAGCTTAAACTTGAAAAGATAGTTCACCTGTGATCAGTTTTTGTAAAGCTATGGGGGTTTAAATATCGCCATTTTGGCCAATTTGGGACAATTAGCGCGCGATATATTTCGCGCTATTAACGCTTACGCGGAGATTTAATCCGTCTTAGAAATCGTTCCAAATTGGTCGAAGGAAGCTCATTTGTTACAAGGAGCGAAATTTATTCTTTTGTAGTTTATATGGCGTGTGAGGGGATGATTTTCAAAGAAAAGATTTCAAATTTAAAAAAAAATTCATTTTTTTTATTACATTTAATTTGTTAATGATCTTTATGTTATTACTGCTCCATAAACCTTAAAAGGCAGACGGAACATTCAGGGTTTTGCCCTGATACGAGCAGTCTTGTTTTAATTGGTAATGAATTTTTTATCTAAGGCTACTGCATGTTATTTTTCAGTTAGCTATAACAGCCTAACTCCTGTAGTTTTCTCCAGTTTAACTTACTCCTTCGATCCAGAAAAAGAAACCAGAATAATTCGATTCGATTTTTTTTTGTTTCTTTTGGGTCTCGATATTAGGTTAAACACATAAGAGATTCGATGGAACTGTTTGTGCCGAGCGCGTCTATTTAGCACAATTTCCATATTTTAATCTCCTTTTGTTGCCATGTATCTTGAACATAGATGTCAAAATTGAACAATTCACTTTTTTCCAGGAAATGAACATACTAGGAACTACCTTATAAATCGATTATATCAAAAAAGGGGCAAAAATTATAATTGTTTGACATTTAATATATATATATATATAAATATATATGATATTTATGTAAGTACTGCTCCATAAACCTTAAAAAGCATTCGGAACATTCAGGGCTTCGCCCTGATATGAGCAGTCTTGTTTTGTATTGTGTATATTCATGTCTACGATTTATAAAAATTTGTCGGTTTATTGAGGTAATTTTTCTATAATGTAGCTCCTTGTGTTCCACTTTCTGCTAAAAAAAACTGATGGAATGATTCAACTTTGGCATCTATGTCTGTAATATTTAGCAACACTGGGAAAATAAAATATGGCAATAGTACTAAATCGAGTACTAAAGCTGATTTTTTTACGAATGAATTCCAATAAATTGTCAATTGTTTTCAGATTTTTGAATAAGGAAGTTATAATGACATCAAACAACTTTTTTATCCTTGTTGTGCAAAATCAATTTCTACTCAAAAATTGTAAATACCGGCAGGTCTACTCTTTACAGATTCGGCTAATATAATTTTTGCCTGGTTAAATCCTGCACCATAGTTTCATGGATAGAAATCTATATGAAATCAATTTAAAATCTTTTATTGTTCCGATTTTCGATACGAGAAAGTAACGGAATATTTGTGCTCGGGGTTGGTTTTTATTCTTCAGACAAATTTCGACTTTTTAACCAGCCATTCTTGACAAAACTTCTCTATATCATTCAAAAGGTATTGTTGTCCTGAGCTTAAATTCAAAATAATTTTCTAAAAAGAAAAAGTTCACAACTTAACAAAATATGTATCATAAACGTTACAAAAAAAATAGTTTTATGATGGTTTTTTTCAAGCGCAATATTGGA